CTCTGCTATCCAGGATTTGAGTGCAAGTAAAAAGGTAAATTATGTATCTTTCTGTATCCTAACAGGCTCCCTGCTTGCTTACTGCTTTCACTACAACACAAACAAAGCTTTTAATTACAAAATAACTACCACCCAGCGGGTCACATGGATTCCCCTGAGCCAATTTCCCAGTCAACATTCAGGCAGATTTACTATCTCAGTGTGGCAGAGAAAACTGGGATCCTCAAAGACAGAACACAGCTGCAGCCTTGAGAAGAATAAGATATAGGTCACAGCCATTAGTGGAGCATTTCAGAGGTAAACTGGTCTGGTAGTACTTCAGTGAAGCCTGCGTAGATCTTAAAGGAAGCAGTAGGAAAATAGGCGTTGTTGCTGGTTCACTAAAACACCGTGGGTTATACTGCACCAAATATATAAAGAAAACAAACACAGCAGTCCAATCCTGGTAGTCAACAGAAAAGCAAGAAGGCGCCTGTATGAGCTTGTATAGGAAAGGCCAGAACTCTGACTCTCTTGACTCTGCAAGACATTTTGATGATGTATAATGCTTTAGTTCCATGCTTTTGCTGTGCACAAGTAGCCTACAAATAAATTTACAGAATAAATCTAGCATTGCTGCTATCTGTTCCCCTGGGCGTCAGGGCTTACAGCTGAATGGAAAACAGCCCATCAGTAGCTAGGTGTCTGAGTTCACTGAATAGCTGATTAGGCCTATTCGTGCACCTGGTTAGCACCTGCGTATCACCTTCTCTAGGCTCATTTAATTGTCAGACGTGTTACAAGTAACAGGACCTGCAGTTGGTAACTTACACTGTGGGTGTTCTCTGCTAACTTGGCGTCATATCCTTGAAGAGCTCCGCAGGAGTTGTCCTGCTCGGTGCTTCTTCGTTTTATCTTGTGATTCGGTGATGCAGCCAGCCATGCAGGCAGAGACCTCTTTGCTATTTTCGCGGCTTTCTCTTCAATGTATGAACGCCTCACAAAATCCGACTGTCCGAGGGGTTTGGATTCCTGCTGAAAATCTAAACTGGCTGCGAAAGTGAAAACAGATAACAGCAGGACGCAGGGCAGCAGAAGTCCCATCATCGATGCTGCTAGTCTCACCGGCAAAGAAAACAAAATAAAGACGTAAAAAAGAACCACCCCAAAACGAGTCTTTGTTTATCCCGGTCTTGTCTAGAAACTGAAGGTCGCTACAGCTCTGTCGCGGATGACATCAACAAAACAGTAGTCCTGACAGCGACTATTTCGTGCTTTGAAAACACGGAGCGACCTCGAAGCTGCGGCTGTTTCCCCGAACGTCAGCTGGGGGGAAATACGCCTATCAAAACACTTCTTCCAAATTAACCAGGGTATTTAACGCACATTATTCGCCCTGCAACTCCTCAGCCAACATGATACACTGTAAAACGATCACGCAAATTCTGTCTGCCCAATGCAGAGACAAGCCACTGTGATTGGTTGGCCTTCTCTTCTGGTCCACCTATCCGCTGTTTTGATTGGTTTAATCCTGGGAAGGCGGTGTCAAACTGAAGAGCAGCATAATGAGATGTCAAAGCACGTCTAGATAGGTTGAGCAATACTATCATTCCACTCCATATTTAAGCACACCAAAGTTTTTACCATATGTTAGTTTTTTTGTGTGTGATCCAAGATGAAAAGTCTTCCCCTCCCTTTCAACTTATTTTTATGTTTCCACCTACCATATGATTAGTTCATTTATAGGTAATTTTGGATGAAAAAGTCGTTGGGAAACACACCACATGTCCACCCATGAAAACCGACAGATGCCCGAAAAGCATGTTCTTTGAATTCAGAGGTGTCTTTTCACTAGTCTTTTGTGTTGTCTGATTCTATGACATTCATTCCTTACATGCAAAAATTAAAAATAAAAAAAAAATTAAAACTTGGTGTAACGTAACACATGCCATGTATTAAATGAAACTGTAATTTCTTCACACTTGTTACAGTTTACTTTGTCAGGGATTGAACATCTGGATCTGGTGTGATGTTTGGAGGCTCAAACAAGAGATTAAATCCCACTGAATCTGAGTAATCTCTCCATCAGAGGAACAGTCTTGCCATCAATGAATGGAAATCCTGTGCAGAGAGTATTTGAAATGCTCTGTTTATGAAAATACACAATAACAATGGAGAAAAACACAGAAACAAATGATTGTGGTCGTCATAGTCAAGAAGAACAGGACCCAAGAGGAAAATTAACGGTTCTATCACATGATCTTAACTGTAAATTGATTAGGGGGGGGGGGGGGTTATAACCTGCTGCCGTATTAAATTATATTTATCCATTTTGTTGGTTGCATTGAGTCATGCTGCCTTCTTGATTAAATTTGTGCATGTGATGGGACACTGGGTCAAACCAAACCCATGACTACTGGTCATATGTTGCAGAAAAAAAAAATCCCTGTACACATAGCTGCTATAGACCTGACTGAACATATTCAAACTACAGACCACACACTGTAATCCATTAATAACAATATACAGTTTTAGGTTTCCCTTGTATGGGCCAGGTCATATTATCTGTAAACCAACAGTTGGGCAGACATTGTTACCTATACCAGAGCAACACCTAAAACTCTATTGGTAGAAGATTTGAGGAACCTGTTATGATAGTCATGCTGACTATTTCATTCTCATGGTGTGACACAACCTGTCTGATGAGTTTGCAAGCCTGTGGCGACAACAAGTTGACAAAAGGTGTCATCTTATCAGTCACAAATAGAGAGCTGTTGAACAAGTTTCAATGGTTTCAAAACCCAAAACCCTGAAACTTTGAACTTGAATCCATAATCTAGCTGCACTCAAATGTGGCTTGGAACATTGGGAATATCTTTTGTGTATTATGTCTTGCTTACGCATTTCTTGATTCCCAGGTTCATTCAAAAAGCCAAACAATCAGATCTGTAGAGCAGCATTCCTCCACTAAGGGACTGTACAATGGAGTTGCAGCCCCTCCCCCATGGTAGGCAGTCAACAAGAAGGTGGAGAACAAAGCCACTCTTATTCCTTCGAGATGTACTCTGTTAGGATGAGGACTGTGCCTTTCTACAAGGTCCCAGATTTTCCTTTTTGGCTGCATGGTGTGTTGAGAGAAAGTAGGCAAATCAAGGGATGGAACTAAGTGTACCTACATTTCCCTGCTTACCAAACCCAAGAATGAGCATTTCCATTGACACAAACTTAGGGAATTAAGTACAACCGGTGTGTGAATGAGATCACATGACACTGATGGGATTCATGGGAAACACATACCTGGTTTTGTTAAAAAAAAACAAAAAAAAACAAAAAGGACTAAAAATTCCTAGTTTAATACTAATAATGCTCATGTAGTCTCTATTGAAACGGCGACCTCTAGTGAAAAGTAATTGCCATTACTGTGCACTCACTGTTTCCACCCAGAGTACTTTTGGGATACTCTGATTTTAGGTGGATTTTAACATATGTAGAGTTACAGTTTGTAAAAATAGATATAATTAAAGATAGCCCTACATTATTTATTTATTGTTATGTATACATATTTTTTCCTGACATTTTAACTTACCGGTATATTTTTTAATGCCTACTGCGGAGTTGTCACATGCCATGTCACAAGATTTTCTCTGTTCTGGATGATGCAATGTTATTCGGTGCATATAACAAACAAAATTACTTTTTGACTTTTTGACATAACAGAATAATAAGCTGAATAATTCAAGCATTTGACTTTTACCATTTGGAAGGAAATGTTTGCACTTCACCTTTTTCGAAGCAGCTTGATGTATTTTGTTTCTTTTCACCCATCATTGTCATTATGATCTTGATTATTTAACAAAAGTATAATATACAAAGTTGTTGTTGGGCCCCGACAGACCCCCTACACATCTCCTGACTTCTGTACATTGTGTATGTACCTGTCATCTCCAAGACAATATGCTTTAATTATGCACCCAGAGACCCAGAAGCCAACTAGTACTTGTCTTGTATAAAAAGTGGCCCCAGGTTCGCAATGTGTCATTTTATGGTAATTTGATTGAGCAAAACTTGATTTAGGCATGCACACTATGTGAAGACGATATAAACTAAAATAACCAATGTACAAGACAAAATTAGAAAATAATGCAGAACCAAATGCAAATTCTGATCAAAATCAATTCATCTAATTGTTTGCAACTAATTGACACGCAATAAATCTGGAGCTTTGGGGGCTCTTGATGTTCACTATCCTTGTATAATACTCAGTCTCAAATTATGCATTTAAAAATTAAAATATCCATTATGTAAGATGAACACTGTAATGAGCACTGCCATGTACATATATCACAATCACAATCTTTATTGGCCAAGTATGTTGACACACATGGGAATTTCACTCTCAGTTCTCAGTAGCTTTCAATACACATGCATACAGATACTACAAGATATCAAGCTAAACAAATACAGTATAAGCAAACATAAACACATAACTGTTATATGCAAGAGATGTCTATATACAGGTCACATTACTACAACAGTATATACAGGGTTATGTACAAGTAGGCTAGTGCAAGTGTGCATGACAATGCGTAAATAAGAATGTGTATACAGTATAAAATTATAAAAGCTAAATACTGTAGGCCTACAAGCACAGTAAATGAGTAAATTAGTTCCACTTTGACTATCTACAACATTAAATGCTGCTTACATATCAATACATTAGTAATCAATCAAGCGAAATAATAACTATCCAATGGTATTTCTTTATTCTTTTATACAAGGCCCATTCTGCAAAATGAGTAGACCTACTTTTAATTTTGATACTTAATATAACTATTTACTGCGTTCACAAAATGTTCTGGACATTTCTTCCATTGTTGCAAATATCAAACTATTAGAACAGCTTACATAATCTGAAATATAAGTACTTAAACACAGACTCAAACATACAAGCAATGAATTCATAACCACATTTAAATACCACATTTCAGCACTTTGAACCTCTCTGTGCAGCAGCGCCCCTGTCGACGTCAGTGATCACGTGTCCTCTACTACGATTCGCTGAAGTTGGAGAAAAGTTTGACAAGCCCGAGGACAGCTGCAAAAGTCAAAGGACAGGAGGCACATAATCGATACCAACGGCCCTTTTTTTATCCGGACAAACGATGGGATCTGTCGCCCAGGTAACGGCCCTGACAGGAAGAGTGATCAGAGTTTATGGCGCATCATGATTGGACACTTTTTAGCAAACACACCTATCCGCGTGTGAATTACTCCGCAGTATAACGGCTTTAGTTTTTCCTTACATTGTATCTTTATTTCTCATCAGAAAGTGCTGACTTCGGGATTCAGTCTTGACTTAGGACCTCTGAAAGAGCCTTTGGCATTCATCCGTGTGCTAGAATGGGTAACTTTACGTCTTTTCAATTTTTTTTCTTTGGTAAGTTACCATATGGCCAATGGCGGAGTGTCTTCTACATGAACTGTTCATCCCTGGTTTCAAAAAATATCTTGCAAATTGATTACGCTGTTTGTCGTGTGACCCACTCCGCGCCTGAAGAAGCTGCAACTCCTCTAAGCTGTTTCAAAAATGGTATGCACGGTAGCTCAGGGAGCGTTTATCCGTCTATGTCTATCAGATTAGCACATCAAAATGTCAGCCTATAAATCGCTAGTTATATGTGCTCAAACTCCAAGCTAATCCGTGTTAGCATGTTCAGTTTAGCACCTGCAGTTAATTATGTATCTAATAGTGTGAAAATCACTGTATTTGTTTAATAACCGTTATGGTTGATATTCTGATTGACAATATTATTATTATTATTATTATTATTATTATTATTATTGCCATTATAATTATCTTTTGCAATTACTTATACTTTATTGAATTTCACAGTTTAGGCCTATACATTCCCACCCACAATGAACAGTTCACAACATTGTATACATGTAGGCCTACATCAAAGTGTACACAACGAAATATCATATTTTAGGCACTAAGTACACTCATAATTGCTAATACTATTGGGAGAGCTTTGAAAATAGCCTTCCAGCACCCTCCACAGAGCCAGAACATCTTCTTGCATCTGCAGATTTACATCTGTCACAAATGGGGTTCATTTGCGGGGCTATCTTAGCTTTAGATTTGGAGAGGTGCGCCCAGTGTACAACTTTAAATCGAATCAGAGAGTGTCCAGCCCACATAGAGGAGAAGTGAACTCTTTCCAAAATCGTAGCAGAAATTCCCTTATTGATTGTAGTTTGAAGGTCCTGTTGGGTTAGAAGACATGCTATCAATCATTTTGTTCGAAAGTTTATTGTGACCATTCCTAAGCAAATATTCATGTTTTTACTTTTACTATTTAGGTATTGTTATGGATAAAACATTGTATTTTCAGTATATGGCTACTCCTTTAACTACTACTGTATGCTTTTAAATTTAAGGACATGGTTCTGCTGTGACACCATTCACAGTGATGGGCCCCTGTGATTAAGATGAGGATTTCCTGTCGAAAGTGTATTGCATAACGTGTGTGTGTGTGTGTGTGTGTGTGTGTGTGTACTACTACTTGATCAGCACCCTGTCCTGTACATCCTCATATGCCAACGTGTCTCGCTTTATCTACCACCTGTGGCTGCAGGTGTTCTCCATATTTGCCTTTGCGACGACTGGAGGTTACAGCGGTACAACCAGCATCAACATCCAGTGCAATGGGAGTGCCATTCAAGAAGTAACGGCAGACTTTAACTACCCATTCAGGTGTGTGTGTGTGTGTGTGAGCCAACGCAAACAGTCTCACACCCTTTTACAGTGTGGAACGAGTGTGTTTACTTTTAGGGTTGTAATAATAACAAAATATGCTATCTGTGTTTACACAGGTTGATGGAGCATCCGTATAATGTCCCAAACTGCTTAAGCAGTCCTACTACCACCACCGTTTTCTATCTGACTGGAGACCACAGATCCTCTGCACAGTTTTACGTCTGTATTGGAGTGTTTGCCTTTCTCTACAGCACTGCCACACTGGTCCTCTACTTGGGCTACAATCACGTATATAGAGAATCTAGTCGTGGCCCCGTTGTTGTAAGTTGTCCAGATTCTGCATATTTTTTGTTGTTTTGGTGAAATGATTGTGCTTAGCCAGCGCTTCCTCTCAGTCTATACATTGCTTAAAAATAGAGCGAGCTGAAATGACACGGTGTTAAATACTTAAATAGTGTTGAATGTATCCATGTAGTTTTATCTGTGCAAGGGCAAGCAATATTTATAATATAATGCTTTGTGTGTAAAATTTTGCATCTGACATCAGCTGCTGGATTTCCACCTCATCTTGGAATCCAACTGGAGGTCAGAGACAGTGCATTTAACAGAGTAGTGTGAATGAAACAGTGGGAAGGGTGTGGTTTTTCAAGCAACTAAGGAACATGCTGACTGTCCAAGAACGCTCCTTGAGTGAAGCTACCTCTGTGGTCGCTTTAAATGTTTTATACTGATAATTCTTCTCTAAGGACCTGCTGGTGACTGCGGCCTTTGCCTTCTTGTGGTTGGCATCATCTTCTGCTTGGGCTAAAGGCTTGTCCGATGTGAAGTGGGCCACCAGTCCTTCAACCATTCTTAATTCTATTGATATTTGCAAGGTTAGCAGCAGCAGCAACAAGTGTTCTCCAGGTGCTGTCCCTCACATGGGCCGACTAAACGCCTCTGTGGTGAGTTGTATGCAAATTATTCTTTTTCAAACATGCTTAAACTTGTGTGTACAACCACAGCCTGGGATATTTGACTTATGTCTTATTCTTTGGCAGATTTTTGGATTTCTTAACCTCATCCTGTGGGGTGGCAACTGCTGGTTCATTTATAAGGAAACACATTTCCACAAATCAGCCAACCAGCCTGCAGATGTGGAAGGGGGAGTTAGGCCTTCATAACCACCCAGCTTCCTCATTTCACAATTGTCTAACATGTAGTGTTACTGAGTGAGTCGTTTCGGTACTAATCATTCAAAGATGAATCCTGTCGAATGCAAGGTATACATCTCTAAAACTGACTGCTTCTTTTTTGCTCTGTATTAGTTTTATATTTAGGGCTGTATTATCTCAAATACATTTCAGGAAGGAACTAAAATGTGATATTTTCACAGTCAAAATCAATATGGGAAATTGCAGCAGTCAAAAATGTTATTCTCATAGATGCTCAGTTTGCATGTTTTTACATATTCATGCACAAGTATCTAACTGCCCCTTATCTGAAATGCAACTGCGGATGTGGACTGTACAGCCTTGTTGATGATAAATCAAAATGACACTTAATTTTGTCAACCTGTTAACTGCCATCTGTACCGCACATCATTCTGCCATCAACATTTACAAACAAACAAACAAAAATACTCAGGGCTATTGAGTGTATGAATTACAAAATACCTAATAAATAGTAAATATTGTGCCTTAATTATTAACACAAGTCAGTGCAATCATAAAACAGCAATAGGCATAAAAAGTGAAGTTCCAATGAATTCATGTTAAATAGTTCATTGGAAAAAATAATTCCGTTGCCAATATGAGATTATTAATGATCTTTTTTTGTGTTACATTGCACCTCATCACCTCAACTATGTAAGGCTAGATTTGCTGTTTTAGCCTAGCACCTGAATATAATGTTGAATGTAGTTGATTTATCCATTTAGAGCATGTTTGCTCTTTTATGAATTTTACATTTAAAATTATTACACTTTTATTAGGTAGAATTTGTGATCTGTTTCCTGAAAAGGACGTGTTTGTTTTTTGAACAAATATCTAAACGAAGGAATTACCCCAGAAAACTCCTGTACTTTCAACTGTATAGCTGTAGCTAGTTGTTGGTTGTTGATATCTAACCTTTTTATTTATATTTTCTTGCTTTGCCTGGCTTCTACCTCCTCTTTATTACAAGGAAAGGCAAGATGTGTTTCTCTATTTCTGCCAATATTATGATTTCCTACTTTGATTGACCCTTTCTTGATCCACCACTGTAATAAAGTGTCACATAGATGAGACTGGTGTTCCTATTACAGTGCAGGAAGATGCTTTGTGAACATGAAATGCCATTCATCATTAAAAGGAAGAGCTGGATATGTTGTTATGCGTCTGATTTTGATGCCTGATCGTTTCACTGGAGGTGGCACACATACTGTGCATTTTTCAACACAGGAAAACAACACTTCCTGATTCACTTGGTTTGAAGAGCTGATGTCTGAACTATTAATTTGTTCTTCAGTGTGACACTCACTAGGTGGCATTCATGCTGCTTCTACCAGACATCATCTGCTGCTGACACAAACCTGTATCTGAGCAGAAAAATACTTGACATTTTTACATTTTTAATCAGAGATTTATTTTGTGGTAGTGGCTGCTGTAAAGCAAATATGTCCTAAAAATGCAAGGAAGCTGCAGTTAAAATTTAATCTGCGGCATGTACAAGGAAAGATGCAACAGCCCCTGCCACCTTAAGAGTCACATGCACTGTCAGTTATAGTGTCTGGATTTATTTGGGTAGTAATTAAGCAGAGTTTAATATTATAGATAGTCTGTTAGTAATATGTGCTAGGGATCTTAACTGTGAAAAATGTATAATGACTATACCCACACACAGAATGTGCAATAGTTATAAGCAGGTGAGGGAAAACTGCTGTAAGGTAAGAAAGCTCCAAAATAGACATAATAGATAATATTCTTCAGTTAACAAAATGCAGAGCGCGTGAACAGAAGAAAATTCAAAATTGACTATATTTGGTGCTGACCATCCTTTGCCTTTAAAACAGCATTTTCTTCTAGGTACACTTGCACATAGTGTTTGAGGGAACTCGCCAAGGAAAGTTGGCCCAAACATCTTGGAGAACATCCCATAGTCAATTCTTCTGTGGATTTAAGCAGCCTCAGTTGCTTTGCTCTCTTCATGTATTCCCAGACAGAGTCATGATGAGATCAGGGCTTTTAGTGGACTATACTATTGCTCTCTGGACTCTTTGTTCTTCTTCATGCTGAAGACAGTTCTCAATGCTCTATGTTTGGGGTTGTTGTCTTGCTGCAGAATAAATTTAGGGCCAATCAGATGCCTCCTTGATTGCATGATAAATAAATATCTGCCTTCACTTCTCAGCATTGAGGAGACCGTAAATTCTGACCAAATCCCCAACTTGCAAGGAACCTACACCATGCTTCACTGTTGCCTGCAGACACTCATTTTTGTACCGCTCTCCAGCCCTTTGACAAACAAAGTGCCGTCTGCTGCAGCCAAATATTTAAAATTTTGACTTATCAGTCCAGAGCACCTGCTGCCAGTTTTCTGCACCCCAGTTCCTGTATTTTCATGCATAGTTGAGTCGCTTGGCCTTGTTTCCATGAAGGCCACTTCTGACCAGACTTCTCCAGACAGTAGATGGGTGTACCAGGGAAACTGTTTTCAGCAGCTCTGAGCTGATGGCACTGCTGAACGTATCCCAATCACAAAGTATCCCAATCACAAAGGGAAATAAGCATGATGTGTCCTTCATCTGCTGCAGTAAGTTTCTTTGGCCGACCACTACTGTCATCAGCGTTGCACGTTTGCTGTGCTCAAACTTGCTGGTGTATGATTTTTAACAGTAAGCTGTCAAGTTGTTTCAGTAAATAATTGTGTTTCAACCTACATATTGAATTGGTGACCATTAGCACCTGTTTGGTATAACTGTTTAATCATACACCTGAGGATATGCCTACAAAATCCCTGACTGTGTGTAAAGGTTGGTCGCAAATACTGATTTGATTTAGATTTTTCTTCTGTTCACTCACTTTGCATTTTGTAAATTGATAAATATAATATAATTAACATAGGCTATTAACTTTCTTATACAGTATTTTCCCCACACCTGCCTAAAACTCTTGCACAGCAGGATACTGTATGTGTGTGTGTATAACGTTACAGGCTACAGTAAGTGTGTAAGTATATAGCCTATGTGTATAACATTATCACGTGTATATGTAAAATACAGTTACACTGAGATAAACTTTTCTAACAACTACTTCCTCGGTCGTTAATATAGCGCTATTTGTACACGGCCACACGTTTTGCCACGGCCGCGAGCTTTGTGACGCGGATGTGAGGCGCATGAACTGACGGTATCACCTCGTGAACGCGCAAGAGCAGCAATGGCCGCTTTACATCGGCGAAATCCTAATCTCGACGATTTTGTCGGATTAAACTGGAGTTGTTGGATAGATAGGGTGAATATTTTACCATCTGACGGTGAGTCACATTCCCTCCCCCAGACCTGGTTTTCATCATGTTACAGTGACAATGTCCTGTGATTTATTTTTTGTTACATACACATAGAGCGGCATAAAGGGCAACCCAAACAAAAGACCCTCTGGGTCCTAGTGCAGGGTGAGTTTGCTAAGAATGGTAACTGGCAACAAACAAAAAACACATTTAAATGTTTGTCTCTAACGAATATAGTGATCAAACACCGGTGTAAATACACCGCGAACGGCGTACCTCTGGACAGGTAAAGGAACCGTTAGCGTTAGCCTGTTATGCTAAATTACTGTCACATCAAACACAACAACACTACTTGAGAAGGATTTATCTAACGTGAGTTTGCTAACAGCAAAATTGACCAGCCAACAGAGCTGCGACTGGACCAGATAACAATGGCGTTGCTGGCAGTGGGTGTATGATTGGAGAAGTTTCAAGAATGAAGTTTTATCTGGATTACTAAGTAAAACCCGGCGAAACATCCGCAAATCTGTTACAGTGGCTTATATGACACCGGATTTTACATAACACAGCTTAGATATCCAGATATCTCAGTGAACCTGCTTCTTGGATAGGGTTACAGAAATGCTTCAACCCAATATTTCATGCTGACCGTTTTTGCCTTTTAATGCAGCTGGGTCTAATGTTGAAGACAGCAGCAAGTATGGGAGGAACTGCTCTGAGACCATGGCCCTCAGGAAAGAAGGTGAAAACCATCATAAAACTCACTAACTCTGGGTGCATTTAGGAACCCATTAAGTTACCTCAAGTTGATGTATCAAAAAATGACTTTCACTTTAACTCTTTTATTCTCTACTGTTTTGCATTCTCCTCTACAGACATGCACATATATGGTCACTGCCCAGCACATGATGAGATCTCTCTGGTGGTGTGCAGCCACTGTGGCCAGGTGGTGAAACCTCAAGCCTTTGAGAAGCACTGTGAGAGGCGGCATGGTCCTCTCATTAAGATGTGTGGCCAGTCATCAACATTGGCTCCACAGCAGCAACCTCGTCCTGGCCGCCCTCCCGTAAATCTGTCCTCCTCAAGACCGAGACAGAAGGATGACAGCTGTCATGAAGCCAGTGCCCCCTCCTCAGCAGCAATACCTGTCCACCAGCACAAGCTTACCAAGACCCAGAAGGAGGCATTGAGGTACTGTTTATGATTATTTACCTCGTAACAACACAGGAAAAGTGCTTTTTTGAAACTGCAACTAGAGCAGTAGGAAGACAGATGTGGGTACAACAATTGTTAGTGTGTATGATGGAGGTTAAAAAAGAACCAAATGTGTTTAGGATTAGAGTCGACATTGAATACAATAACTCTCTTTGTTTATTTATTTAAGTGATACGTCACTGACCAGATTGGCAGAGCTTCAAGGAACCCACATCCACAAAGACTTACATTTAGCAAACAAAATGAAATGCTGAGAAATGTGAACCCAGTTAGAAACTGTCTTAATTTTCATGTCATTTGGGACTTGTACAAACCTGAATTCTGTTTCTAATTTGCAAGCCTGACTTGCATGACTCTTTTAAATTAATACTGAAGACTACATCTCTAACTACCTCTGCAGTTTTACATCAGTGGAGAAGTTCCCTCAGGAAAACTCTCCCCTTCCACACCACTCCTCCCCCACGCCTCGCCCCAGGGTTCTTCCGTGGCACTTAGGACCCCTGCCCCCTGGCCACTCTTCTTCCTACACTTCTCTGTCAGAGAGACCCTCTGTGCAGAAGCCCACAGCTGGGCAGTCCATTGACTCTCGCAGTCCTCCGCGGGGAACGAGAACCTACAGTCGGATGTACAAAAACATCAGCAGTAAGTCTGCTGTTTATACAACACCTCTTGTAAATGTCAAGGACCCTTAAACATTAAGTGTATTAGCCTGGGAATGATATTTTGTAAGTTGCAGTATTTGCATAGTTAGATTGTATGGAGAAATGTTGTCTATTATTATTTTGTTTTGAAAAATTTATCATATAGTCTTTGTCATCAGTCTGTGTCCTGCTGTTTCTCACTGACTACTGTGTTTGCTTTCTTTCCCATAGAGAAAGAATGTGACCTGAACAAACACTGCAGAGTTCTGGATCCGGAAAGGACGAAGCTGTGCAGCCGGGAGCTTACATGCAATGTAAACTCTCAGTGCCTTGTCATGACCTTTTTTATTCAGTACTGTTACCAATATCTTCTATCTTGTTCTATATTAACAGATGTATTCTTCTTTTGTCTTTGTCTTTTGAGGTTGCATTTGTTATTCAGAAAAATTAAAGTGTTTCTCTTTTTTTTTCAGGAGATGTGATGTAATGCCTCTTCTTTTCTCCCATGTCTTTCTACACAGACTGATTCCATCCACCAGCAGCAGAAAACAATGGGACGGACTAAGACATTTGATCAGTTGGCAGTGGAGCAGAGAGCTGCTTGTGCAGGTCGACATGTGGAGCAGCTTCTCGTCAAGTCAAAAGACATAGAGCAACATTTGGAAGCGTTTGAAGAGAAAATAACAACTCGGGGCAGTAAATACAACTTAAACAGCAGCTGTCACATTCTCAGGTATGACAAATTAACAACAAATTAAATTTGATTCACAAAAATACCTCATGACCCTTACAAATTGTTGATGGAGATGATATTGTAAATCTCTGAATGGTGAGCTTAGATAAACACGGCCACAATGAAATGAAAGCTAAATAACATAATTGCATATTACAAATTCATAATTACAATTACAGTGTCACGCAGCGATGCAGAGTGAGGGCATATTGCAGAACTGCAGATCTCCAAATGTACATCTGGTTACGTTTAGGTCACAGCTAGATTGCAACCAAACTGTACTTACACCCGTTTTCATTAGAGTTTTTCATTTTGCACCATAATGAGTTGACACAGCTGATAGTGAAAGTTACAAGCATACAAAACAAACGATGATTGTGTTGATTAGACATAACGTTCAATTAGAAAAATACATGTTCTGAATGCCTGCGACCCGACCACGGATAGGCGGATGAAGATGGATGGATGGATGGATGGATGTTCTGAATGGTAAAGTTGGAGATTATCATTCAGATAGTACCGTCTTTTGCCTTCAAAGCAGGTCTAAGGATCCTTCAGACATCTTTCCAGAGGAGGAAGGCGACAGCTCTGTGGAAGCGGAGGTACAGCCTCCGTATCCCTTCAACCAGAGCCTGCTGTCAAGTGATGAGAGTGAAGACGGTGAGCAGGAGGGAGCCTCAGACCTGCCTGCAACACCCTGGCACCCCAAACCTCTCGGGGTGAGTGCAGAAACATACAGAAGCACAGTAGCGGACAGTAGATTGGGATATCTATCATAGGCCTTCAGACATGTTCAAAAATAGTTTTGTATGATTGTTTTAAGAGGAAAATATTTGTTTTTAAGTAGTTGGATAGATTTAGAGAGTGAAAGCACAATTCAGTTTATTTTTCTCAGTTGAAATTTCAAAAAGGGGGTGGGGGTCAATGCATTTCACTATGAATTGTTTTTAAAATCATTGTTGTCAGCAGTGGAAATGAGCACCTCCCCAAAGGACACATGAACGTGTCTATATTTATAAAACGGTTTCTGTTCTGTAGCTATGCACTTTTGGATGCCGCACATTGGGTTGCAGCATCTTCACCTTCGACCGACGTTGGCACCACCTGCGGTTTGCCCTCAGTGCCATGTTGGAGCACCATGTCGGCACACATTTGTGGAAGTGAGTACCACTACTCTATACTTGTCACCTTTTTGAGCACGGCAAGGTGAAGAAAAGAGTCAGTTGGCGACTCAGAATCCAGTATCCGCTCTTCAGCTCAATCTGGTTTCTTTCCTGCAGGAATAAATTAAGTTAAGTGATAAATACCTTTTTTAAACAAAATGTATAGTGCATTGCTAATTAAAATGTTTTTAATCATCTGATAAGAAAATAGGTTAAGGATCCCAGAAATAAAACATTTGAAGAGGATGGTGGGATTCATTTTATTGACAAGTGACTTGGTTTTCATTATATCAACAGACTTTAGTGTACTTGCCTACTTCAAGTGTTTAATGGAGAGTTCAGGACTTAAGCAGGTAGTTGTGCAGGGATCTTAGCTAACATTTGGGAGGATCAGCTTGCTTTCAGGATTGCTTTCATTTCCATGAAATACAGAAACTCTAATCAGCTTCATGTTTGTCCTTTTAACTTACAGGAAAATGCCCCAATCATCAGGTCTCAGGTCACGTCATGTCACGCCTCCAGCTGTAGGGTCACCTGTCAGGACTGGGGCCAGACCTTCCAAATCCACTGGCTCCCTCAGCCCTGAGTCTACCTCACAACAGGGAACCAAAAGCAGTCAGCACAATTCTCACAGTACCAAACCGCCTTCTTCCACCACCTCTGGGAGCCTTGGGCCTGGCCGACGGCGCAACCCTGTTGGCCGACCCAGCAAGGCTCAGCTGAGGGAGGTGGAGCTTATGCAAGATGCAAGCGCAGCACCGATAGCTGCCAAGCTTTCACAGATCAGTGAGGAGAAATCTTCCAAATACATCAGGGAACCCCCCCTCCATGAGAAGGAACAGCCGCACTTACCCACCTCTCAAGGACCAGTAAATGGTACCTTTTCACACGGAAAGAAGCCATGTCCTCCTCTCCACCGCCCCCACCGCAGCAGAGGGAGGCCCCCAGGGATTCAGCAGAAGTTGGTGGGCTATGACCACAGGACTATTGCCCAAAAGCGTAAAAGCAGCAATGAGTCACAGGCCCTGAGCTCCTCACTATCCAGAACTTCCAAGTGTCAACGCTTGTCTTCCCCTTCCCGTTCGGGCCTCCTTGCCTGGAAGGGAGAGAATATCGGGGATGTGCTGGCTTGGGGTCTGGAGAAAAGGTCTGACTCCTAAAGTGTGAGTAGACTTGCTGGCTATGCAGTAGGTTCCATACCATTTTTTTTTTGTTGATGTGGATCTTTCCCTTTAGGCCTAAAAATGAATGGCACTGAACATGTACTTTATCTGAGCTCGAGTGTGTGTGAACAATAATGAATGCATTTGTGTGTGACAGTTGTTGTTTCCCTCTCATCTTCACAGCCAATGAAGAGGCCAGCCTTAAAAAGACCGCTTGGAGAAGAGTGTGTGTGTGTGTGTGTGTGTGTGTGTGTGTGTGTGTGTGTGTGTGTGTGTGTGTGTGTGTGTGTGTGTGTGTGTGTGTGTGTGTGTGTGTGTGTGTGTGTGTGTGTGTTGTGTGCATATTACTGTGTGTATTTAGCAAAATGTCTATTTTTCCATGAGACTAAATGTCTCAGTTTATTACCTGTGTAAGAATATAAAAATACCTCAATCTACCCATCATGCTGCTAAAATGAAATGTCATTTCATGGAAACACAATAAAATGTTCTTGAATCCTTAGAGCCCTATGTCTCTTATTTTACTGTGACTCTGTACTAATGGAGCATTAAAGATTGTAAATCTGCAGTTTCTCATTCATGTACTAAAACTATGAAAACTGACTGTAAGTTTGAAAGTTTTTCTGTAATTGCCACTTTGATCATTTTTGATTTTCTAACACCAGATGGTGCTATCTGCTCTTTGGAAGCAAGCTGTCAAGTGGTTGGCCAGAAAGCATTGTTTTGTTCCTGTTTAACCAGGTAAACACTATCAGTTCAGTTTTAGGCAGGTGTGGAAAAATGCTTTAAAGTAAGACTGTTTTCAAAAATAGACATGTCAATAGATTATATTTATCAATTAACAAAATGCAAAGTGAATGAACAGCAGCAGATAAGATCAGTATTTGGTGTTGACCACCCTTTGCTTTCAAAAACAGCATCAATTTTTCTAGGTACACTTAATACATAGTCTTTGAAGGAACTTGGCGGGTAGGTTGGCCCCTTGGAAAACTACCTTCTGTTTTGCTGTGGATTTAGCCTCTGTTGCTTCTCTCTCCCAGACAGACTCGATGTTGAGATGAGGGCACTGTGGGGGCCATACCATCACTTTCAGGACTCATTGTTCTTTACGCTGACCTTCGCTGTATGTGGGGTCGTCATGTTGCAGAATAAATTTGGGGGCAATCAGATGCCTCCCTGATTGTACTGCATGATGAGTAAGTATCTTCCTTCTCAGCACTGAGGAGACCATTAATTCTGATCAAATCCCCAACTGGTGCTGAGTTAATCGCTTGGCCTTGTTTCCACGTCAGAGGTTTGGCTTTTTGGACGCAAGTTTTCCATGAAGGGCCACTTCTTACCGGACTTCTCCAGACAGTGGATGGGTGTACCGGGGTCTAACTGTTTTCAGCAGCTCTGAGCTGATGGCACTGCGGAACATCTCACAATCGTAAAGGGAAGTAAGCATGCTGTGTCTTTCATCTGCTGCAGTAAGTTTGATTGGCTGACTGACACTGCGACACCGCGACACCTCTGTGGTCCTCAATGTTGCCCCTTCTTTTTGTGCTACAATTAACCTCATTTGTGTGGCCATGTATATATACATACACACTGTATATATAGTACACAGTTGCAATCCAAATAATTAAATCCCCTTAACCTGCAACACAGTCAAGTGATGTGAATAAAATTTAATGAAAACTTTTGAACTATGGCCTTGGTAAACACTCAAAGAAAGTGTAAGAATACATATTTGAGTGCTTTTTGAGAACACAATGTTGAGCATACTAATAGTACAAGGCCTACAGGAAAAATTATTTTTTAAATCAGATTCAATTCCGGGGACTGAGACGGCCACTCTTGAACCATGCTTTGGTTTACTTGACCGTATGCTTGGGATCACTGTCTTGCTGAAAAGCCCAATAATTACCAATCTTCAATTAACCCACGAGGGCATCACATTCTTCTTCCAAAAGGCCTGGAGTTCCAAAGAATCTATGTAAGCCAGTCACATTAAGTTTACCAGCAAAACACCCCCACAACAGGACAGACCCACCTCCATGCTTGACTGTTAGGACGGCGTCCTTCTTGTCACATGCCTTGCCCTTCTTACACCAGACATCCTGTTGATCCATGGATCCAAACAGTCGGAGTTTGGTCTCATTACTCCACAAAACAGACTCCCAGACATCTACAGACCTATCCATAATTTTTCTTGAATGTTCAAGTCGACTTCTCTTGTGCTTTTTGATCAAGAATGAAGTGCGGTGCCCTTGCTTATTTTGAGTCTGTACTGAGACTGTTGTTCCTGCCTTTATCAGGTCCTCCTGCAAGTCTTTGGCAATAACATGAGGGGTTCTCTCAGGCGTTGTATACAAATGTCTTATTCCCCTTGGAGAAATGTTGCTCTTTCTTCCACATTTTATTATGCTGTTATGTTTCTAGTCATAGAAAGCAGTTAAAATTTGTCAACTCCTCTATTGTTATTATTTCTATTATAGTTTATAAAAGAAGTGGACAGTAAATGTCAATGTTTATATTGTTTACAGTAGTACACTACCTACTTTCATTCCTCCCACCATCCAAAGACATGCAGACTAGGTTAATTGGTGTCCCCGAAATTGTCCTTAGGCATGAATGTGAGTGTGAGTGTCTATGTGTGGCCCTGCGATGGACTGGCGACCTGTCCAGGGTGTACCCTGCCTTTCGCCCAATGTAAGCTGGGATTGGTTCCAGCCCCCCGCGCCCCTGTACACAGGATAAGCGGTTGACGATGGATGGATGGATGGATGGAAGGACTACCTACTTTCACCACTAGATGGAGTTAAACCATCAATGTTGCTCCTCAGAAATAAGCGGCATGATGAATCAATGAGTCCATGAGGTACCAGCCACAGATTTACAAGCAAATAACTACATGTTCAGAGTTAAAGATAATTTTTGGAAACAGTAGGAGACAGCAGTAAAATGGAGGCGGCACAAAATGTAAATCTTCATTGTTTATTAAGTCAAATGATCAGGATTCTTAATCTTTAATGCCTACTAGGTTGCACCTATCCTGCAGTCAGAGAAGCTCTTAAGAATACCATGCAAAGCCATTCCACTTAAGCTGTGAGACCTTTCAGGTTTAATGGCAGTGACCAACCAGCTTATCTTTGAAGTAGTGGTCAATAAACTCAGTGCTTTTAATGCTTAAAAGCTCAGTTCTTGTGCTGTGGACACTTAGTAGCACACTGTTAAATCAGTGAGCTTTTAACCCCACCACCTCAAGGTTTTTTCCGAAATTGCTACTACATAGTCAGATGAATGGAGATAGATGTGTGTGTCGGGCAATGAGACCACTTACTTTCCTAATCTGTGAGAAATAATCATTTAGGGAACCGTTAATGTGCAATTATAGGAAATAGCAAATGGCATGTGAGCTGCACAAATCTCAAACCAAAGATTTTGTCTTAATGATGCTGCAAATGTGAAAACCTTTAAAATGGAATTTTCACATCGTATTACATCAGAAGATAAAACTGACATAGTCCTGAGAAGATTTATTTATCCCGTCTTCAAATCCCATTGTGTGAAGAGATCTCTTGATTTTCCTACATCCGTTGCTTTTATAAAAAATATTCTTTGACCTTAGACAGAAAAGTTGTTGCTTTAATTGTCTTAAAATATCTGTTGGAGAACTAACCTACCTACCTACAAGTCCCTACATCCCCTGACGTAGCCACCATCTGATAAATCGCAGTTTTTTCTCCTTGAATTCTTTATGGCTTTCAGGGAAAAGTCAAATACTGATTGAAAATAACTGGCGGCTACATACTCACTGCCCATTAGGATGTATCATGTTTGATGATTTCAAACCGGCACTCTTCCTGTGTAGTTTCTAATACATGCTCAGTATGTTTTTGTTTTTTTTTGTTTAACCATATTTGTCAGCAGTGTAAAATGTAAAATACATCTTATTTCAATAAAAAACTAAACCCCGCCTGCTTAAAAAATAAACATTTATGTCAAGACTTGAATGTTGAAAGAACTAACAGTAGCACAGCAGCAGACGAAATGCAAAATGATCAACAACATCAGATTATACAAGAATAAAGTCAGTACACTGGTAGAACATAGCAGTACACAACTAATCAATACTGAACACATAAAGTGAGTCTTAATACATATATATATTGTATATATAGATATATATAGGAAGGCAGATTTGCTTTGGAGAGAACAAAGCCACTCTTCTAGGACCTTCACAATAGCACTTAGATTTTCACAGTACAGAACTGCAACTTGTATTTTGAGCGACAATTCAGAGAAGTAGACCACCCATTAGCCATGGCAAATTTAACTTGATTTTACTGCTGGGCAAACACGTGCTATTCCTTGATGGGCTGGCAGTTCAATGTATGATATTCAACAGCCATTATATCTGTGTATTTTAGTTAGCCATTTCAGATTGTGTGACTGGCATTTAGTAGCTTCTCAGGATTCCTTAAGTGTCCAGGTCCTCTAGAAGGGGAAAACATAGAGCCTAATCCCTAAAATTGGACAGATTTTTCGCCAACTGCAGCCAGTCAGCAGTAGTGGTAAATGTGGCTTTATTTAAGTGCGTCTTGTGGTATTTTTGCTGCTCTCTATTTCTCCACCTGGTATTCCTATGTGTGAGGAATGGAATGATTCACACACCACCTCTCTGATAAGTGTGACTTCCTTTTCTCACCCACACAGGAGATGCTGCGGTGCACACTGCAACTGTGAATATAACATCAATTTTGCGTAAAAACTTCTTGCTCCCAGAAATGTGTACATCTTAACATTTGAGAGCTATGCCGACATTTAATTGCAAGATGTATGCGATTTTACATAACTATGCCTTGTACTGTGAGATTGGATGAACCAGAAAACTATAAAGCACTAAGGGTAAATTTCTAACATTATACTTTCCATTCATATGTCTCAGTGGGAGAGCAAATGTTCAATGAAAGCTCAAGGCATTTCCCTCATAAACAAATTACAGACTACTTAAAGGGCATCACATTCATTGCCTGGCTAAATGATTGCTTTTGAACTTACGTAAGGGCAGCCTCTTAATGACAGAGGTACACAAACAAAGCAAACGCATCTGGGCTGAACTGAGGCTGTCGGTGTACAGGGAGCCAGAGAGAATGGTGTTGTGCTGCTGTGACTCATGATAACACACCTATTCCCCTCCTGCTCAGAGAGACAAAGGCATCGAAAGCAGAGAGAAGCCGCATTCCATCAAAAGATGCAATTAGCATTTACACCAGGCTAGCCCAGTTTCATATGACACAAACGCCGCAAAGTTTAATGAAATCACTCATTCTTGTTTATGCCAAGACACAGTCTCCTGTTTTAAACCTTGTTAAGGAAATATGCACAGCACACGAGGTGTCTCGCTTGGTAAATTCAATTCACAACAGATTCAGTTATACTCATAAAAAGGATCTTCTGAGGGTTTTACTAGAGGTTTCCTGTCAGTAGCTACAAACTCTAAAATCAGCTCGCTCCTGTCAGATAATGCGCAGCCTCATTATTATTTTATTATACATAATTATTCATAAGCTTCATCTTCTGGAAGAACCCTGTAGGTTTTGTTATGTGGCAGACTCTAATGTTTACCCACTAATAACAACATACAGCTTTTTCTACCTACCACAGGGCAGCTACATTTTATTTCAGGGTGAAACTGGCAATTGTCGATCTGAGCAAAATTCAATATTAAATACTTAAATCTACGACTCAGGAAAGACTAAATTAAACTCAAGCTCGCAGCTTTCACATTGACTTGGTATTTAACTTCTAGTGTGCTAGTGTAACAAATGCTATAACTTGGCTAAGAGGAGGAGTCAAACTCTGCAGTGAGTTTCACCTCAGTGGACAACTAACAGAAGCCTATTTGTCCTTGTAAGGACCATGGTACCTGCCTGTATACGGAATTGAAACAATATGTTGATGAACAGTTAAGACAAAATACTTCCCTGTACCTTACGTGTATCTGCTGGAGGCGCTCCATATTGTTAACTGTGTAAGGTTTCAAATGTATCTTTTGGTTTATTCTGTAGATGTGCAATAACTAAGAAGTAACTGTTTTGATATACAGTTAATTTATAAACAATGATCTGCCTCAAGCTGTTTAACTATTTTATACCATGCCTCTGTGTAAATTGATCCCTTAACATAGCAAAGGAAAAAATAGCAATCTCCTATATCGCTACACATATGACTATGAATACGAATAACAATTGTTATGATGAACTATATCTGAGTGCAACTAAGTATTGGCTATGAAGTAGGATGGGAATGACCTGCAATGGCCTCTTAATATATTGTTTGTGCTACCGCTTTCTCAATGTAAATGACTAAATGTCTGATGAATCCACATTTCCTTTATCCCACTCATACAGATCAGTCTGGGACCTCATATAATGGCATGCTGTTTCTCTATGGATGACTCAAAGCTAATGACAGATGTATTCATAGCCTGGTGACGGCAGTCTGTCTATCTAAATCTATGTCCCAGTGTTGATAGAGGTGGGGTAAATGTATCTTTTCTCTAATGTTTACGTAAGATGCAATCTATTCTAGTCCTTGTAATAAATATAATTATGAGCCAGACATGGTTTCAATATGCAAGTTTTCAAATCTTCATCCCGTGCACTGTTTCATATGTATTTGTCATACTTTAGCTGTTTAATTGATCACTTCCTGAGTGCTGATATTAACAATATATCGTCTGCGTTTTGCTCTCATAAGACTTCAGTAGTTTTCACTGTCCATGTACACTGCCATTCCTTCACAGTATGAATATTAAGTGCTACAGATTAAAATGCTGGAAAAGTCCTGCTTATTGTCCTTGTCGACAACAAGTCAGTTTTTTTTTACTCCCTTTGAGATCCTTATTTCCACTTGCCAGCAACCACAGTTGAGCATCCTTCCTCCATTTCCTACCACAAGGTCGGTCACAGATTACATTAACTCACACATGGCTCACGTTGTACCGTATACATCCAGTCATGTGGCATCCATCGTTTCATCTCAGACCACCATGGGAGTGTCTGAGAAGACGGAGCTGATGGACTCTGCTACTGACTTCTTCCTCTTCCCCTTCATAAGAGAACCAGCCTCTGCATCCAGATCATCATCGTCTTCATCCCCATTGGGGTTCAGCTTGCCGTTCTGGCCTTGCAAGTCCTTGGAGTCTATGAACGCCACGTGCCTGTTCAGCTCGGCCTTGAGAGCTGGGTCCTCATGGGTAGGTGTCACACTGAGCATGGATGAGTGGATGCTGTCCTCACCCCGAGCCTTTCCCTTATTGGGGCAGCAGAAGCAGCGGCACGGCGTTAGGTAAAGGTACATGAGCACCAGCACCACACTGGCCAGACAGCCCACCAAGGTGGTGTACGCTGTGTTCAGGGTGTCCCCGCCCCCGTTCATGGTGAAATTGTGAACCTTCAGCACCACATAGATTGTCTCATTGAAGGCCTCGCTCGTCGCAAAGCAAGTGTAGGTCCCAGAGTCCTCAGGTCTCACTGGATGAATCTGCAGACTTCCATCTGGCAAGACTTTGGCTGTGTGGTTACTTCCAGGTGTCACCACCACATTACCAGGCATCATCCAGGTCTTTAACATTTCCCTGTGTTTGGTGTCACAGCCGAGGATCACCGTTTGCTCCAGAAAAGCCTCTTCATCTGCCTCCTTAAATGTGCTGCAGTTCATATAGTTACCGCTGAGATCAAAAATACCTACTTGGGTTTTTTGTGGACCAGGCAGAATACATGTGTAGTCATCTTTGAAGTCCACAGCAGAGTTGAGCTTTCGAATGTACCAGTGTGCTAGGAGTGTGTAGAGATCACAGTGACACAGCAGAGGGTTATTGTGGAAGTAGAGGCCATTTTTAATCCAAGCAGGCAGCCCCTGGAGCTCATCAAGGGGTAACGTCTTGATCTTGTTAGAGGACACATCCAGGAGGCTAATTTTCTCCAGGTGGGACTTTTCCTTGACCAGCTCCACAGGGAAGCGGGAGATTTGGTTCTGGCTAAGGTAGAGCTTCTGAAGGCTGCTCATGCCAACAAAGGCTGAGCGGTCAATCTGGGAAATTAGGTTATTGTAGAGCAAGAGGACCTCCAGGTTGACCAAAGGCTCAAAGATGAACTCATCCAGCAGCCGCAGGTTGTTGGATGACAGATCCAAGTAGCGCAGGTGCTTCACATATATGAAGGCCTCTGAAGACAGGAAGTGGAGACCATTATGACTGAGGAGGAGGTTATGGAGCTTCAGGAGCTTGACTGGGGTCCACTCGGATCGCAGCCGTGTTATCTCATTATAGCTGAGATCCAGCACGGCAGTGTAGAGTGGTAGACCTGTCGGGACGGTGGTCAGATTCATCTTGGAGCAGCTCACTATGTTTGACGCGCAGATGCACGTCTTAAGGCAGTTTAGGGTAGACCCCGTTGCCCCTGGAAGCCAGAGGAGAGCCACGCAGAGGGTGAGGGAGAGGCCCCATCTCGGACGCTTACTCCATTGAGGTAATGTTTCCAACAGGCTGTCACCTGTTCTGGTGGAAGGCTGCAACATGCTAGCAGTTGATCTAAATCCCAGAGAGGTTTACTATGATCCCATTCTCAGAGAACAGCATGGGAGAGCAGCTGGAGCATTCGCAGGCATTCCTGATTCCTGAAAAGCAGAAACAAGGGCGATGAACAGATATTATCATTAGACAGAGGTATGTATTGTGCTTTGGATATATGAGAGAGAGAGAGAGAGAGAGAGAGAGAGAGAGAGTTAGAAATGAATATCATGCTTTGTATAAACAAACAAACACCTGTATAGAGACACGTATGTACATTCATGTTGTGCATGGAAATTATTCAAGTCCCAACAATACCACAATGGAAAGTCCTGCATTTAAAAATGTAGTTGAAGACATGTAAACAAAAGCACCGCCCCACCACCACAACTCAGAGCACATGAACTTGCTCTCACTCCCACATTGAACAAGTCCTCTTAATCCAGGGACAGACACTAGATGCTGCTGATGCTGCTGTTTCAGATGCTGTTAAATGTTTGTTTACATCAGTAGTGTAAGTGCAAGTATAAAACATGCCCATTGGTTCAATTATGATCCCTTGAGACAAACATAAATTCTTATTTCCATCTATAACATTATTTTAAATATACCTGTACAGTCATGCACAAGTATTTATTTAAGTATTAAAAGCAAATTTATTCATTGGGAAGAATGATTCCTTTTAATTAGTATGCTGTGAAACTTGGTATAATTGCTTTATATATGTGTTAGTTAAAACTTTAGAAATGCATGATATTTTTTGAGCTAATTCATTGTTTGGCAGGTAAAAGCTTAATATGCAAATGAAGGAGCAAGCAGCCACAGCCTCAAATGAATGCACAGTATTTACTGAACGCAAGATCACCCTCTAAAATGCCAAGTCCCACAAAATGACACTATTTAATAATATATATTGTCCATACTGCACAGTACTTGAGAAAATGTCTTTAGTTACTTCCCACCCCTGCACCTATGTGAACATGCAGTATCACATTAGCTGCTGTCTCTGTCTTGCTCATAGCTTCTCACGCATATATTGTATACAGTACAAACTTTCCCTTACTGCCAATGCTCGTCTTCCTTTGAAAGAAATACACAGGCACACATCCAGCACTCACTCTAACCCATGTGCATTCACCTGCCTGGAAGACATGAATTGATTTTCTTCCTCTTCCAATTTCTCTTTCTACCTCTCTCCCCCTTTTTCGATCTTTATCTCTCTGAGACGCAGAAAAAAAATACTGTTGTAAACTATAAAATGAGGAAGAACAAATAAATAAAATACTCAACGTGTGAAATCACGAAACTATTTACGTTATGTTATATTCGGAAATGTCAGGAGATGGAAGAGCTGTGCAAACGTTGCATTGCACCATTCTGATCGAAAAACAAACGCACAACATGGAAACGTGAGCCGAGGAATGGAGAAGGAAACCGAGAGAGCCGTACCTTCAACCGGGATGCGGCGATGTTGGCTTTCATTAAAACAGGTCCTGGTCTGTTTAAAATGTTGCTGCATACAGATAGCCCCCGTCTGAATGAATCCGTGTCTGCTGTTGAGGACAACAAGGGATGCAGGGAAGAGGGTGAGCAGTAGAGACACCCTCGCCAAAATAATACTGGTCCACGCGGCATCCAATACCCGGTGCAAAATTACGCATGAAACGGTTACGTAAAAAGCCACACACGTCCTTTAAACTACTGACAACCACCGATAAGCAACTCTGTTTTAATCAGCTGTCTTTGCTTTCAACGGGACTTGCTCTGTGTATGCACGACCGTTAATCCGTCCTTATAACTGGCGCATTTTGAGCAGGTCGTGTCGGGTCTCATCAGCAGCCAAGGAGATCATTAAGAATGAGCAGTCTGTGGCTGACAAGCTTCCCCATGGCTCCTTGTAGGCCTGCTGCTGTCTCCGTGCAGCACTGCTGCTGCAGTGGTTGACGTGTATTTCGGGAGAGGTAGTGCGTCCAAACCCAGAAGGCGCTGTTTACCGAGAGCGGCCGCAGCAGAGACGCGCTGCGGAGACGCACTCCTGGAGGAGAGCCGAAATGGTGGAAGTGAACATTCTAACTGGCCAAGAAAATGTAGGCTAATATTACCAGTTTTTAAAGGTTTATAATAGCATTATGGATAACAGGTAGTCTAGCCTTTATGGTTGTTTTGAATCTACATCATCATCATCATTGGTCTATTATGATAAACTCTGACATTGAGCGGTCGTTATGTCATTGATCAGTCAAATAACCTAATGGTCACATTGAGACAAATCTTTACTGTGTAGATTTATGCTCCCAGGAGAAAAAAAAATCTTGGAGACCCTTTTACTTCATTTGCATCATCATTACTGAAGGTCAAACTTTAGGTTACAGCTTCCTGTCCTTACCCTCTAACCAGGCTCTAAATCTAAATGGTGGTCATTATAATTTACCATCCCACCTTTTCCCTGTATTTCTGTGAATGTATAATGTATACATTTTTGGTAAGACAAGGTGAGACAAGCACCCAGGTGGCTGGGTGTTCTTGTGTGGTAAAATAAGATTTTACCAGATTTCACTTACATGTGGCTGAATGTGCTCATACCAAGCTGTCACACATTTTCATCTTCAGGGTACCATCTGACAGCTGAATATGTTAACAGTCTCTGTGTGCTCTGACAACTGCCGCTGTTCTTATTTTGTCTCCATGTGTAGGTTCCCGTTCATAAACAGGACTATCTTTGGTTGATTAATTATCCCGGTGCTTAGGTTGAGTAATACGTGTGCAAGGGCCTGACTTTGTGTTGAAATGTGGTGGGGACAAAGGGACTCGGATTAGGGGTGTGAAGAGACATTTAGCTCGCAAGACATCACGATAGGCAATAATAGGTTCAAGAGAACTAGAGGAAAATATCCTTAAACAGTGTGCACAGATATCCTCAATGCAAAACTTAATTTCCTGCATTCCAGTGAAAGTTTCTGCACCAATTTATGGTGGAAATATTTTTTATTTATATAAAAGGAAACATAAAATTCAGGTACCACATGCCCTTTCAAAATATAAATATATATAATATAAGTCAGTGTAGCTCTCAGGCATTCTGTGTGTCTTTCAGATCTGTTTCTCCTGTAGATAAACTTTTCTCATGTAATATTATCCATGTTGAGGCAACACATATGTAGGCATGATTTAGTCTTTCCTTCTCTTTTGTCATGTTCATAGGGAGAGAACAGAAAACTTGGCCAAGAAACTGTGTCAAGAAGTTGTTAAAGTTAAGGATTGGTGCATGCACGTTTTGGGGTCATTTTATTATCAGTAGCTTGTTTTGGGGGTTTTTTGGCTTTAATTACTCTTTTTGGACAATGCACATTTGTTTCTTCTCTATTTTAATTGCATTGAATGTTTTCTTAATGTGCAAAAAACCTTTCTAAAGGCATTTTAATTTGTTATTTAACTGCAAACTATATTTCAGAACATTATTTAACAAATTAAGAAAGTGATGGGGACAAAGCAGCCATTTCAAAAAGTGGTGTGGACATGTCCCATATATTCATTGTCAGACATACTGTATATTTGTTGTCAGTCTTTCTGTGATTGATACATTCCTGATTCAGTTCTGTATTTAGGCCTTGTAAACTGAAGCATGTAGAAAAAGTAGCCAACAAAATGCAAAATTAGACAGCTTGATTATTTTGGGCAGCTCAGTTACATCCCATGATAAGGGCCTTTAAAACTGAAGAGACATAAACTCATTTCTAACCTATATTATTTCTGTAGGCATTTAGTTGCTAATTAGCCCAGGTAATACATTGATTTTCACATTTACATCAGTACATTATTTTGTGGATTAGGTATGAGCAGGTGGCCACCAACCTGTCCAGCTTTCCAACTGTAATTTCTTGGCATAGTCCATGCCATTCTTGATCAATGTGCAAACTCTTTTTATGTATTTGATGGGCTCTGTTTGTGAGTGCCGACTGAGCGGGGAAAACCTTGTCATTTTTTACTCAAGTGAATCCACCCACATGCTGCTTTTTGAGATTTCTTCGGGTTTTCCTCAATTCACAGATCTGCTGCAGCGAGCCTGGCGTTGGCAAGCCTGTGAGAGCCTGTGCATTGCCAATAAGCTGCTACACCAATGTAGCCTCCTACTCAGAATGCCACCAGAAATCATTTAATAAAAGAGTATTATACCAACAACGGGCAAGATAATTTTAATATTATGTAAATTATTGCCTCATTATAAAAATTATACATAAATGGGGGCAACTCTCTTCTGAGAAATAGCAACATATCAGGATAATGCACAAAGCAATCGGCACTGTGGCATCCATGTAATTATTTTGATATCGGTCAGACCCTGAAATTGCGGTCATTTTGAATTGCATCTCTGTCATTTCGCTGTTCTTATCCCAAGTTCCAAGTCATTTGACCAATAACAGAGGTATCCTTGGGAGAAAAAGCAGACCACATAGGACACTGTGACCTTTTGTGCCTTACTGTGCTTTGAAGGTCATTTGGATTTCATCCGTTAAGCAGACATTAGGTTCAAGCTTTTTTGTGTTGGTGCAAAGCTATATCCCACCAGACAGACATGCATGGCAGAGTAGATATAATTGCAGTTGCCTTGAAAAGATATGCTTTGGCAGGTGAACCAAACAGATTTGAAGCAGACTGAAGTGCAGGCAGACATCCCACATGATTTGCTTTAATGAAATTCAGTGCCAAATAAATTCTCCAAACACAAAAAAATAAATCCTTTGAAACAGGTTGTTAAACAAATAGAGTTCAGACAGTAAACTTCCTCACATGTTGGACTCGGGCTTGAGTTGAGAAATAAAGTGGGACAAAAATGGACTAATATGATATTAATTCTCAGAAATGTATTCCATGAATTATGTATATACACCTGCTGGAGACATCTCTTTCTCCCTAAGCCTTGAGTACAATGTCAGGAAATACAGGTATGAACCAGTGTGTCTGAGCATTGCGTGAAACCTCTGTCCGTCCGGAGCATTGTAGCACTGTGACTCTTGTGAGATGGAGCTGAAAGTGATTAATGCTCTGTCCGACTCCACTTCCTGCTGTGACAGGGATAGTGTTGCCTGGCAACTGCCTGCGGCCTTTGGTTGACTGTCGTGGCTCTGTGGCAAATCTGAGGTGGCCTTGGCTTCTCTTGTATATCTCTATGTACCTGCTCAGATGGGATTTCTAGCACAGATCGATGTCTCAAACTCAACAAAAAAGGAAAGGTTAAGTGCTTATCCATGAACACAGGAACTGAAAGACAAACATCAGTTACCAAATTTACTTTGTTATTCCATTATTCATCAATATATGTTCAGATATTGTGACAGAACTTCTTTCACTTTCTTTCTCTGCAAAGCTGCCAGTCAAGGCAGGCAGAAATCCCTGTCTCCACCACTTATTAATCATTAAGTGGTGGCAGCATTGTTAAGTGGCTACAGCTTTTGTAACCAGCACTTTAGCAGCCAGGAAGGCATTTCTTCGACTGAGATGGCCTGATCATATTTCCCAAACGATAACATATGGAGTTACAAAGGCTCAGCATTCTGAAAGCTATTAACGTCATTCCATGTCTGGGAGGATTATCAGCACAATCTCTTCATTTTTGATGCCTGATCACACCGATGTAAATGGTGTTTACATACAGCAGGCTCTTTTGTGCTTCACCTGGCTTCTCTGCTGACATGGTAAACACACGCTCTGGTCCAAGCTGACACGACATCCACAATTGGACGCAACTACACTTCCATGCTGGCTGCACACATTAGACCCGCACCTGGGTGTACAACATGGCACAAAACACAAAAGTTTATTTTTGCCCGACCTGTGATTAATCTTCTTGTCTCACTGCATTTGTGTACATGTTTTAAACCTGCAATAACTGATATTTTTGACACTCTGAAACAAGTTACGAACACTGTGTTGACATATCATCCCCTCTTCTGGTCCCTTAGCTACTACTTTGTGGCGATTTTAATATTCATGTTGATGACCCCAACAATGTTAATGCAACTGACTTTTTAAATATGGCCACTTCTTTTAACTTCAAACAACATGTCAAAGGGCAAACACATAACCGTGGTCATACACTGGACTTGGTTTTTACCCTGGGTGTCAGCATTTCCTCTGTGGAATTAGTGGACATGACCATATCTGACCACAGATGTATTGTTTTTAGCTGCGATTCGCCTGTTACTCATGCTGCCTCACCAAGCTCCGTGTGTTGTCGCATCTTTAATGAACAAAGTGTTTCAAAGTTTTGCGCATTCTTTCAGAGCCAAAGCCAACACCTGTCTGATTCCAACACCAACAATCTGGTCGATCACTTCAATCATATCTGCTTGTCGTCACTAAATATTACTGCTCCTCTAAAGGTTAGGCCTACGTCTAAAGCTAGTAAGCAACCCTGGATAAATGACAGCATTCGCAGCCTCAAAAGGGAATGCAGGAAAGCAGAGCACAGATGGAACAAATCCAGTCTCCAAGTCCATTACCTCAGTCTGAAGGATTTATTAATTAACTACAATAAAATGGTTAAGGATGCGAGAACACACTATTTTTCTGAACTCATTACTACACATAAACACAATCCCAGGTTTCTGTTTAAGACTGTGGATCAGCTGGTAAACCCAACCCCTCCTTGTGCCTCAGCTGGAAGTAATGATGACTGTGAATTGTTTTTATCTTATTTTACCAATAAGGTGGTGTCAATCAGAGCCTCTATTACCCCCATGGACTCTTACTCAGAGGTCCCTCACCAGCAACAACAGAGTTTTAACCAGTTTTATCCCATCGACTTGTCTGAGCTTTTAAAAACAGTATCACAAATGAGAGTGTTCTCCGGCCCACTTGATATAATACCTACAAAATTTTTACTGAAAGTAATAGATTCTGTTGGGCCCCATTTGATCTCTGTTTTCAACAGCTCCCTATCTACTGGTTGTGTCCCTGATTATTTTAAAACGGCTTGCGTGAACCCACTTTTAAAGAAACCTGGTTTAGATCCCTCCCTCCCACATAATTTTAGACCAATTTCAAAACTGCCTTTTATTGCAAAGATTCTA